GGTCAACAGTGTATACTAATTGGTACACTATATAAACATCAGCAATGGAAACCATCAATTTTACGAGAACTTAGTGAAGATCATCAACTTAGTGTCTCCTGTTCTAAATCAAATTATTGTTCAGAAAAAGACCAATCATTTTTAGAAGATGAAATGTTACGTATTAAATTAGTGGGTAATCAAGTTAACTTAAAACAAATTATTACTGGAGTTGTTTGTGCTATATTAGGCAATGAAAATAGTGATGGAACATTTATGGTAATATTTTAATTCTAAAAATATAATTATAATTATATCTTTACGTTATGTTTTTAATATAATTTATTATATTTAGGTAAAAGATTGGTGTTTTCCTGGATGTGCACCAAAAGAATCTTTAAAAGAACATATATCACAAAAAAAATTGGTAATAGTATCTGGATTAGATTTATCCAATAATTATGAAAGTTTGGGAATATCTCTCTTTTATGAATGGTTATGTGGAATGGCTGGTAATACAACAATACAAAAAGATAATACTTCTATTGTTCGCCTTATTATAGCAGGTAAATCATACATATTATTCTAAGAATTTTATATATGTATATATATATAATATATAATTTATTTTTTTATTAGGTAATATCACAAAAAGTAGTGATATAATGAATACTAGTACAAAACTTGGAGAAATAATAAAGATTGTGGATACATTCTTAAGTAATTTAGCAATGTGTTGTAATATTACCTTGATGCCAGGAGAACATGATCCTACTAATGCTATGTTACCACAAAAACCATTTCATCCTTGTTTATTACCTAAATCATCCAGGTTTATATATATATTGAATTTTATGTACAAAATATTTATAATATATGTAAGTATATATTCATTCTATTTTTATATTTATATAGATTTGAAAGTTTTAAAAGTACTACAAATCCATGGATTGGTAAAATTGAAGGACGAATAATAATTGGTACTAGTGGTCAATCAGTTGAAGACATCATAAAAGTAACAGGTGAAACTAATATTTCACCTCTCGAATGGCTAGAAAAATCTTTACTGTGGAGACATATGTGTCCAACTGCTCCAGATACATTACTAGCTTGTCCATATTATGAAAAAGATTTGTTTATTATAAAAAAATGTCCAGATATATATTTCATAGGAAACACAGATAAATTTGAAACAAAACTATGGAAAGGTTTGTAAAATATACTATTGTAAAATATTTTTAAAAAATAAATTAATTTTTACTTCGATTAAAATTAATTAAAAAATTAATTTTCAGGTGAAGAAAACCAAATCGTTAGATTAATATCTGTTCCACGTTTTAATATGACTTGTACTGCTGTGATAGTAGATTTGGAGAATTTGGACACCCAATATATTTCTTTTGGTAATACTTAAACTATAAAGATATTAATGTTTGCCATGTAATGTTATTATATTATTTTATTCTAATTTAATATAAGTTTTATATGAATATATATATATAT